AGTAAAAGTCCCGAAGCACTCAATATCAATGGCTAGTAGTTCAGCTGGTTCATTTGCGCATTAAATCTGAAAGGTCGCAAGTTCAAATCTCGCTAATTGTATCGTTATGCAGGGACCTGTATGGTGTTTCGTCTCGCTATGGAGCACTCAGTACCAGTATAGTTTGGATTGTACACTGTACAGTCAGAGTAATGTGTTCCTTATGCTGTTTTTCAAAGGGTAATGAAAAACTTACACTTTCTGGCCTAGGGTAAAAAATCCACTACCCTGCCTGTGAAAGGGTAACTGAAAAAAAGCGGCCGCCAGTCAGTGCAAAAAGGGTATTTTACCCTGATAACGAGAGGCCTGTTCCCCACCCAAAAAGTTTTGATTTCCGGTTCTAGGACCCCCCCCAAAGAAATTATGCCTGACCCCCCCACTCCTCCCCCCTTTCTCCTTAGGTTGCACGAGAGCGAGCCAAGGGAAATTTTTCCCTTAGCGTTTTCTAGCCAATCCCGTGTTTGTGATATCTCAAAGTTAGCTTTGGAGCAGCAGAGCTTTCCCTTAGCTAAGATAGTGTAAGTGCAAGCCCGGATATCAAGTTTTCACTTTGGCTTGCGCCCGTGACCGTTAAAACCCGTGGGTCAAGAAGCCCAAATTTGGTTCATACTTCCTAAGCTTGGTTGGGTGTTACCAGGTTTCCAACTGAGCCTTGTTTGACTACCCACAAACCCTGTCGCCTGTTAAGTCCAGATGAAAACACTGTAGCAGCGACACCAATCAATTGGGTTTCATCGCACAAATTGATCGCCAGAATCCAACCTGACGAGACATGTGAACCCAGGGGAGAAAAACTTGTCCCAAAATGGCTCAGCAGATTCCCGAGTTCTAAGACGCCTAGCTAGACGCGATCAACCAGCCTAGTTGCCGGTTTAGGCCATTGCACCGGCACGCGACCTCGAAGTTTCCGCAGGTAGGCAGGCGTAACCTCCAGAGCGAGGCACATTGCCGGGTAATACGGAACGAATTCTCCCTCATTCGTCTTTCGCCGCACCGCACACACGCGTTAGCCTCTCCGCAACCACCCATCCGGGACCGTGTTCACAAGCATTCGCCACCCCGCACACACGCGTTCGCCCTCCGCACACACGCATTCGCCTTTCCGCAAGTACGCATTCGCCAATCCGCACACACGCATTCGCGACTTCGCACGGACGCATTCGCCAATCCGCGCACACGCATTCGCCGCTCCGCACACACGCATTCACCCCTCCGCACACACGCATTCACCTCTCCGCACACACGCATTCGCCCCTCCGCACACACGCATTCGCCTCTTCTCACACACGCATTCGCCTTTCCGCACAAACGCGTTAGCCTCTCCGCACACACACATTCGCTGTTAGGATTCGTGCATACGGATGACCGAGACGACCTGAATATGCATAGTTGGACGAGAGTGCTGAAGGGCGGCGAATGTATGTTGAGAGGCCCAAGGCTAAGGCGTCGCTGAGGGCAAGGCGGGTTGAGCAAAGCACCTAATCCCCGCAGGTCGGAGAAATGGCACGGGTGGAGAGTGAACGGAGGACAAGGCGAGCCAGGTGATTATGCTGTTTAGGATCGACATAATAATAGAGAGGACAGCGTATGAGGAAAGATAGTGCATGACACGGATGGCATCAGGTGTGTGAGTGAACAAAGGACAGATAGTGCACGGTGTGCGATAGAGCAATGGAGGAAAGAGCAAGCTGTGTGCGTGGGAAGAGAACCAGAAGAGCGTGGGTGTGTGGCCGAGCATAGACAGAGCACGCTTGGGGGACATTTGGCTCCCATACCTGCCCGGTATCGACTCTCCCTCAGCCGCCGCTCGCTCGGCTGTCCCGCCCAACACGTGGCCTCCCCCTGCCCCGCCCCCACCTGCCCTCCGTCACCACCCGATTCCCTGCCTCTGTCCCCATTGCCTCTTCCGGTCCCCCCGGTCCTGCCGCACCATCGCCTGCATCACGTCGGCGCACAATTGTTAAGAGTGGCTCTATAAGCATACGAGTAAGTACCCTTCCCCTACGCCACACATCCCCAATTGTGGAAAATGGTCGAGATGTTCGCGGCGAGGTGGACGAGGAGAAATATTCTGCAGGTACCAACTCTGGTAAGTCCTGTGATGGGTGCGGGGTTCGTTGCGAGAGGGAGCACAGGCGGTGGTGGCAAGGTGAGCGTGAATTCCCCTCACACATCGCATCTGGCGATATGCTCCACTCCTCACGCTCACCGCATAACTGGCCACTATCAATCATTCCGCCGCACCCACTCACTGCCCCTTCAACCGCCCCCACTCCCTGCGATTCCCCCCCCCCCCACCTCATCGGTATCGCTGCTCATTCCCGCCTGCGTCTCCGATACAGCGCCGCGGACCGAGGATGACAGGGGTAGCAGGGGGGATGGGAGGATGACAGGGGCAGCAGGGGGGATGGGAGGACCACAGGGGTAGCAGGGGGGATGGGAGGATGACAGGGGTAGCAGGGGGGATGGGAGGTTGACATGGTTAGCAGGGTGAGGCGCGTTGGGAGGTGCGTGGCATGCCTGGTTGAAAAGGCGGTGTGGCCCTGAGGGGGTGGGGTAAAAGTCGTAGGGGAAGTGGGGGATTGGACCGGGGAAGTAACCGAAAGGCCGGAGGCTGTGCGGGGAGGGACGAGGTGGAGTGGGGGAAAGAGAGGGTAGGAGCGGGAGAAGGGGGGGGGGGGGGGGGGTATGAATGGGGGAGTGGTAGGGTGTTGGTAGGGGAAATTCAGGGTGGTAGGGTGGTATCGCGGGGAAGGGAGGTGCGTTAGGAAAGGTAAGGGTGGCGTTGGGGAAAGGCAGGAAAACTGTGTGGGAAAGGGGCGAAGGAGGGAGGAGTATTGGAGGAGGGGGGGTAGGGCAAGAACGACGGGAGTGGGGGAATGGGCGTGTGGGAGTGGAGGAAAGGGCGGGGGGCAGTGGGGGACTGGACGCTGGGGAGAAGGGGGATGGGGCGGGTCCCCGTCGTTGAAGGGAATGGGAGCGGGAGAGATGGTAATTGGAGGGCCCCCATCGAAGGGGGTGAAGCGTGCAGTGAAACAAAGTGAATTCCCAGGGGGGAAGAGCATGAAGAGGGGAGACAGAGTGACCCGGAAAGACCTGCGGTGTGTGAGGGTGATATTCCCGCTTGTAACGATTTCAGCCCGCGAGGCGGATTGTGAGTGCGTGGAAGGGGAGTAGAATGCGGTGGGGAGTGGTGAGGAGCTGGCATTACAGTGTGGGGACGGGATTGGGCGGGGTGTTACACAAGGGGGAAGTGAAGAGCGACGGGAGGGGGAAGTGAAGAACGACGGGAGGGGGAAGTGAAGAACGACGGGAGGGGGAAGTGAAGGCGACGGGAGGGGGAAGGGAAGGCGACGGGAGGGGGAAGGGAAGGCGACGGGAGGGGGAAGGGAAGGCGACGGGAGGGGGAAGGGAAGGCGACGGGAGGGGGAAGGGAAGGCGACGGGAGGGGGAAGTGAAGATCTACGACGGGTTGAAAGGGGGGATTGGCGTGCGACGAAGGGAGGATTGGCGTGGGGGAAAGGGATCGAGTCGGGAATGGTTGTTCATGCGTAATGAGTCAGGAAATGCGCCTTGTGTATCTCCGAGTGAGGAGACGGGGTTCGCGGGGCTTGGATATTGGCGACGGCATGTGAGGAAATCGGCATCGCGGTGTGGCTAACGGAGAATCGCCGTGCAGCCCGTATGACTTGCGGCGTGACGCGCATTGATTTATGGCGTGTGGAACGGGGTACCGTTTAGTCACAAGCGCGCGGCCAGAGGAAACCCGCAATCGCGGTCATTCCCGTCCTAGTATGCGTGCTAGGGATCTCGCGCCGTGGTCACAACGCACCTGCACAACGAGGCCGAGAAGTGTGACGATGGCACCAATGTCGCAGCTACATGCGTCGCGCACGGTTGTGTACTTCTCCGTCTCTGTCACGAGTTTGCAATGTTTAGCTTGGTCGATTGGGCTTTCCTACTTTAGCAGAGTGACGAGAGGTCTTCGCTACTTGCACATAGTGACGCGGACAAGTACAAGGTACGCGGCTTACTTATCTAGGGGAGACGGGGTGTTGGACAAGTACGCTTGGATTGAGTGGTGTTGTTCACGCACGTCGCATTAGGTTTTGGGCGACGTTGTGGTTGGGGGTGTTGAGGTCGCACGCGGACTCGGGTAACCTTGGCGAGGCTGCCCTGGTCCGCGAACATGGTTTGTTATTTTCGACACTTCCTGTGTTCGCGGACCATTCGCCTATCCCTTCCCCAACCAACCTTCCTAAGGTTGAAAACTGTGGCCCGCGGGTTTCAAGGGCGCCTAACACTCAGCTACGGCCAAAACATGGTCAGATAGGGAGGAGCTGGGGACTTCAAGTATGGGCCCCAGGAACTTCGACAGGCCTGGTGACGAGTCTTCAGTTGAGCGAAGAGAAAGCAAGCAGCAGCAAGGAATCCGTTATGCCATTCGCAAGGCGAGAACGTGAAAGCAGATTTTTCCTGGCCTCGCGTCGCGTCGATATTGTCGTCGAAGCAGTAGCGGCGGAAATGTCGGTGCTGCTGTCCCATCGCACCGCAGAGCGCAGCGTTGCCATGGCGAGTTCTGATCGGGTGGTACAGCCAGCCATTGCCTCCTGCTCCGCTGGATCTGCATCTGCGCGTACCAGACGAGAGGATCCGCCAGGGCGAGCTCGATCGGTACAATCGGAGCCGTTCATCCATTCCTCGCATTTCGGAGCGCGTCCGTCCTTGAATCGCGCAGCGTTATAAACGAAATACTTGTCTATCGTGGTCGCGCGATAGCGGAGAGAGAGAAGGATGGGAAGCGCCGTCGTGTGTAACGCTTCCACCGATTTCCAGCAGCACAGCATGCTTTCCTTGGTGTTCACGGTTCCGCACTCGACGCGAGTTACGCAGTTTCCGCACTGTACTGCTCGACCAACAGGATAGCGGGGTGGAGCATCGAGTGGGCGCAAGTGGCGGGGATGGCGAGCGACCTCGACGTCACCGTCGGCCAGCGCGCCTTCCACGCGCACCAGTACCCGCTGTACGCGTTAGTAGCCTTGCTTCGTTCCCAGTACGCGTTACTAGCGTTACGCCATTCTGTACGCTTCACGGTTCAGATGCTCCCAGCTCTTTCTCCTTTCTCCTCCGCTCCCCCCACCCTTCCCTCTCGTTAGCTTCTCTATCGACAGTGATTGCGAACACAGCAGCAGCATCGGACGCAGCACCGGCCCTCCTTCCTCCTCCCTCCCCCTCCCCCTCCGGCCCCCACCTCCCAGCTTCTCCCTGTCAACGGTGATAGCGAGCACGGCAGCAGCAGTGGACGAGGGGAGGGCACCGGGCCCATACAAGCGAATATCTCATTCCTCCCTGGCGCCGCGCTCTCCTTCTCCCTGTCCCTTATCCTTACCGCTCCTCTTCTCACCCCCCTTATCCTTACCCCTCCACTTCTCACCCCCCTTATCCTTACCCCTCCTCTTCTCACCCCCCTTATCCTTACCCCTCCTCTTCTCACCCCCCTCCTTCTCACTTCCCCCCACCCCTCCCCCCTTTTCCTCTCCCCCTGGCAGCATCACTGCTAGAGATGAGCGCGTGTGCGCCCAGCCCAGCCATGCGCTACTGCTGCCACAGCTAGCCTCTCAGCGCCGCCACCACTTCCTGCAGCACTGCCCGCACTGCCTGCACATGCTCATCTCTTTGTAAGTTAGAATCGCGGGGGTGAAGGGGCAGGAAGGAGACGGGAGGGGTGGGGGGTAAGAGGGGAGGCGAGGGGAGGGGAGGGGAAGGGAGGGCATGGGATGGGATGAGATATGGAATGTTGATTCAGTATGATGCCCTTATTGTTGCTCGTCTGTCCCTTGCACATGCGTCCTCCTTCTCATCTCCTCATCTCCTTTCTCACGTGGGTCATCTCCTCCCACCGTCTCTTGCATGCATTCCCACACATTGCTTCCTCTCCTCCTCTCTCGCCCCCACTTGCCGGCCCCCTCCCACTCAAATCTAATCTAGTCATCTCTCGTCCGACTCCCCCCTACTCCCCCTCCTCCTCTCTCCATTAGCCTACTGTTCTGTTTCATTTCGCATTCACGTTCAGGCCATGTGTCTCTCCCCCCACCCTACTCCTCTCCTCGCCTCCTCTGCTCGCTATTCCTATTTCCCAAACACACCTCCACTTTCTCCTCCCCTGTCTCTGTCCCTGTCTCTCTCCGCCCACCCGCCCTCCCCTCAACACCCAGCAGGCACACCCTGCAGCATCTATCATTTCTCCTCCCCGACCCCGCCACCCTGCCTCTCTCCACCAACCTGCTCTTCCACCTGCTCTCACACGCCTGCCTCTGCGCCATGCCGCACTCTGCCCTCCTCTTCCTCTTCCAAGCTGCCACACACTGCCTCGCTCGGTAAGTTGGGGTTGAGGAGCATGCTGCCCCTCCCCATCCCCTATGTCCATGTGACTGTCTGAGGTTGGTGCAGCGCATCATCATTCAAAACTTCTGATGATGTCAGATGTTAAGGTATAAGAACCTTGACCCAACGGATATGCAGGACTGGCGCAACCAATTTGGTTTGGTTGTGCAAAATCCTGGCCAAGATTTGTTGGTCACTAGTCAGTTCATCCAGCAGGTGAACCAAATGTCACAGAATACTCAGTTGCAGATTGTTTCAATGTGCAATAAAGTTCTTGTTGTGAAAAAGAATTCTGCATGAGTTTGTTAACCGGTACTTGCTAACATAATGAGGGTGTGGTGTGGTTACACAATGGAATTTGATGTACAGTGTAAGGAATTTACAAATCCTTACTGAGGCACTCGTTATCGAGGCCATCCCGAGGGTCACGCGACGAACCTGTCCTTCCTATTTCGTCGCACCGAACCACTCCCGAGTCGCCTCCGCACCAATCGCAACCATCACCGAGCCATCCTTTCCCGAACCCCCCGCCTAGCTAGGACTTCCCCTATTTAGGCCTCGTCACTTGGTGTGTTCAGTCATTTAGTAATTCTGTAATTCTCATTCTCGTTATTCGTTATTCTGCGCACTCTGCAAGTTCAATCATAACACCTGGTATCAGAGCTACTTTCCTAGCCTTCCCCGCTTTTTAGAGTCTAATACCCCTCGGGGGGGAACGAGGAAGGATGCCTTGGGGTCCAGGAGTTGCGTAGGCTGGCCAAGAGAACGGGTTAGTTCCTCTTCGCGGCCAAGGTTTTATCGTGCACTCCTTCGGCACCGCCAGATCCTTGCCTCGAACGGTCGCGATCGACCGTGGCCTCCCTCCCCCCGGGCAACGGGCAGCAGCAGCTGTCGCGACGTTAAAAGTGAGTTACTATTCCGCTGCGATTTACCTACGATTTCGGAAGTTTTGTGTGGAAGCTGGCGTCAGCGGACCTGCGTCGGCAACGTTTGTGGCAGTTGACGCCGTCAGCCCTGGGTCAACAGCTGCGCGACAATTTCAGAGTTCATTGGAAGCGGCAAGTTACGACGGTGGCTCGTCGTCATTTTGCGCGCATGACTCACGGAATGTGTTTCGGCAGCTGGCGACAACGGACGTGCGTCCCTGTGGGCGACAATTTCGGAGCTACTGTGGAGAAAATAGTCGGCTGGGGAACTCGCCAGGCGCAAATGGAGTTTTGCGTCAGAGGATCCCGACGGCTGGGAGAGATAGACGCTCAAACCGCCCGAAATGAGCGGAGGCTGGGTTTATCCCGTCCGACCGGAAAGTACGGCGCTTACCGTACTGGAGGGCGAGTCGTCGACGATTTTCGGCAGAAGTGCTTGTTGACAGACAGGAACTTTGGACCCGCCGACACTTACAGGCTGCAACAGACAACGACGTGGCTGAATCGCACTTTGCGGGAGTGGGGCGCAGGCGCGAGGGCATATCGGGACTGAACACCCGAAAAATACTCGTTTGTTGCTGCGTGCATGGAGCTGCTTGCCAGCTGCTCGACAGTTTCGAGATCGGTTTCCCCGTTCAAGGAAGCCGTTTTCGGGGACAGCCGCAGCAGCCCACGATTAAACGGTGTTCAAGGTGCTACCCCGACAATTTCGGAGTGTGGTGCAGGCCGCCGGGACACGCAAAAAGAGACTGCCCAACGGCTAAGCGGGGGTTGAAGAAGGTCGTGGGGAGCGAATAAAAGCGGGTGGAACCGATCTGCGGCCCTACTTCGCCCGAACCTCACCATCCCCACCGATTACTGGTTCCGACTCATGCAGTCGACCTTATTCGGATGAATCACGGGGGTGAACACGAGCCTACCCTGCGCTGGGTAAAAGCACCTGGTTTTGGTGCCCGTTCGACAGCTGTACAGAAAAGACAAAATATAGGGAGTTGCGGCACTGTTCTGCTCCGACAAAAGCGGGCTGGATGAAACAACACGCGAAAAAATCGGGGCGCCGCACGGACAACATTGGTGCAGTTCGCTGGTTTCTCCTGACCCGGGCGTCAACACGAGGTGACGTCGCAGCGGCGAAGCAGGGACCGGGAGCTGTGGAGTTTAGTGGCACGACGTTTGCGGTGGGCTGCAAAACGGTTGGGCGACATTTCCTTTTAAATAAGGGTCCCCGACTCCGATAGTTTTTGCTCCTCCACCGTAGACGGGTTCGCGCGGGCAACACCGACTATACTCCATCCGACAAAAGCGGACGCTGGGTGAACGGCGGGAAGCGGAATTGTCGGGGGGTGAAACGACCAAAAAAATATGAAGCTGCAGGTATTTCTTCGCTTCTTGGAGTGCGGTTGAGCCGTTGGGGGACTTCGCCTTAAGGGAACTTATCGAAGTTGCCTGGCAAGAAACACTGCGGCAAGGATACCTAGGACCCCCGGTGTTTAAACGCACACCTCGGGAAATTCTTCAGAAAAAAGGGAGCGTGGGAGCAGTCGTAGCTTCGGGACCTTATCGACCGGCGACGAGCGATGCGGTGAAACATCTGCAAAGCGCTGGTGGGAAAAACGTGGTATTTTGTTAAGCAGCATCGGCGGGAGCAGTTTCAACGACGAAGTCAACGGCGTTGATGCCACTAGGGTCCGTGAAATTCGGTCTCGGAATAGCCCGGGGCAGTCCCCGGTTCTCGATTGAGCCCACATGCTGGGGTCGGGTAGCCGACGGAAACTGATGGTGACCAGGTGGGCGGCTATAGTACGTCCGAGATTTTCGGAGGCGAACTGCAACTGTAACTGCGGATTTACGGGGCTTGATTCGAGCGACTATTTCGGAGTTTTACGTGGGGACTTACCGGTTTTACGGCCAAGAGCGCCGACATTTTCGGAGGAGTTGCGGCGTTCGGTTAAACGCGCGCGACGACGACATGGGGCAACACCGCGAGAACTACACGGAGTTTTCAAGGGGTACGAACGACTTACGACGAACTGAAGAAGGCGGCAGCAACAGTGAAGGGGGGGGAGAGAAAGCTGCAATTTTTCATCCCTGCCCAGGAGACCTTGGCCCATTCCGACAAACTGCTCGGCGAGTCTGGACAAAACCGCCGGAGGTGCTGACATCATCTGACGCTGGATCGTGCTCGACAACATTTTCGGAGTGACATTCGATTTTGGTTACATCTGCGACGATCATCGCTGACTCTCGTATTCGAGTTCGCCATCAATCGTATTCATCGACGACATTGTCGCCACACCCCGATTTCATGGCCAGAGGATTTCGGGTCGGGACTTCCAACTCTACTAGCGACAAATCGTCCAACTCGACCCGCCCACGACAAACGATTCGATTTCAGCTGCTGCCAGCTGCAGCTGCGGAAGGGACCACCGAAAGTTTTGGTGGTGTAAAGACAAATGTCGACAGTTCGTGCAGCGGCGAATTTTCATCATTGTTTCTGGTCTACGTCAACCGGATCGCCCTTGAAGAATTTTGGGCACGGCTTACCTGGTTTTCGTCATCGAGTTTCCACACCGACGCAATTTCACCTGGACTTCTTCGCTCATCACTCGTTTTTTGGGACTTCACACCTGGATTCTGTTGGTTTTCCTCTCGGAGCAGCTGTGAAACATTTTCTGGTGTGTTTTCTTGGAGGGGGGGAGGAGAAAGTGCTCGGCACTGTTTCTTTCCTTGGCGTTTTGTCGGCTTTCTTCTTGACCTTTGTCAGGTTGCGTCAGCACGAAGGACGATCGCGATTACACCGACAAGATCGACGGCTCCAGATTGATCGCGATTGAATTTCGCGTCAGTCTGTTCCCTCCAAAATCGCATATGCCTCGACCGTCAGATTCGCACTTAATCGATCGACGGCCCACATTCCAACTTCTACTTCAATTTGGGTCAGCTCATCGTCGACCGTCAGATTGAAATTTGACTTCATCAACGGCCTACATTCCAACCTTTTCAAAAATATTGTCAAAGGCATTTTGGCCGTCGGATTCAGCTGAAGAGGAGATCGACGGCATCCTTGCTAGTGTGGGGTCTGTTTTCAGTACAAGACTGCCTTATTTAGAAGGTGGGAGAGTGTAAAGATTTACAAATCCTTACTGAGGCACTCGTTATCAAGTACATCCCGAGGGTCACGCGACGAACCTGTACTTCCTATTTCGTCGCACCGAACCACTCCCGAGTCGCCTCCGCACCAATCGCAACCATCACCGAGCCATCCTTTCCCGAACCCCCCGCCTAGCTAGGACCTCCCCTATTTTGGCCTCGTCACTTCGTGTGTTCAGTCATTCAGTAATTCTGTAATTCTCATTCTCGTCATTCGTTATTCTGCGCACTCTGCAAGTTCAATCATATCATACAGGCTGATTCGGTTTCCTGAATAAAACATGAGATTTTATTCATGGGATTCTAAAAAGAATTTGTTTTACACAGCATGCATCTAACAAACATGGAGCAGAAAGGGAAGTGACTACACCATGGTTTGGGGATGTACAGAGCAGATCCGAGACAGGGTGAAACAGTTGGTCCAGATCAAATGGAGACACATCCCGCATGGTGCAATGGCACTCTTCACATCAAGGCTGCTACATGCACTGAGCAGCGTGGGGATGGGTGGGGCATTGTGGACATTCCCTCCTCTCCCCCTTCCTCCATCCCATCCCAGAATATGGGCGAGTGGTGCAGTAATGATGTGAGAATCTCCATTCTCCATGCAATGGGGCTGACTGGTCAGGGTGGCGAGCCCTCACATGCCCGCACTCGCCACTTGCTGTGCTGGCACCTCTGGGGGCATCAAGAAACAAGGGGGAAAGAGGAACAGAGAAGAATGGCTTTGTGAGACGATGCACAATGAACTAGGCGGCTAACGGAGGGAGGTTGTAGTAAATGACCGATGTGTATTCAACTAATGGGCGTGTCAGAAATGGATCATGCATGCCATCTCCCCACCCCCCCTCCCCCTCCCCATCCCCCTTGGATATGCTGCAGAAATACGGTAGCAGCGCATGCATGTCAAATTGCAGATGCGGATGGCAGTAAGCTGCGAGCAAGCAAAGGCAGAAGAGACAAAGGAGGTGTGTGCATTCATGCTATCAAGCTTTGTGACTCATGTGTGACCAAAAACACTCATTCGCTTCCCCTCTCGTTCTTACACCAGAATCTCTTTCCTTCCCCCTCCCATCACGCACTCGAAACACGTCCGTCTTTCAACTCCTCTTGTGGCACCCACCACCATACATCTCTCAACCCTTGCTGCAAAATCCCACCCTCTACACACCCTCCCATCCCTGCCATCATCCCCTGGCCGCACTCTCCCATCCCTCTTCCCGCCGCCCACTCACCAGCACCACCAGCGGCAACAGCAGCAGCAGCAGCGGCGGCGCGCGCCTCAATACGGCGCTCAATCTCGGGGCGGAAGTGGCGCAGCAGCCCCTGCACGGGCCACGCAGCGGCGTCCCCGAGCGCGCAGATGGTGTGCCCCTCGATCTGCTTCGTGATCTCCTGCAGCATATCCACCTCCTCCATTAGCGCGTCGCCCACCTTCATGCGCTCCAGCAGCTGCCACAACCACGGCGTGCCCTCCCTGCACGGCGTGCACTGCCCGCAGCTCTCGTGCTTGTAGAAATACGACAGCCGCGCGATCGCGTCGACGACGTCAGTGCTCTTATCCATCACGATCACTGCAGCTGTGCCTAAACCGGACTGCACCGCTTTCAGCGCGTCGAAATCCATTAGCACGTCGTCGCAGATGGGTTTCGGGAGCATGGGCACTGACGAGCCGCCCGGGATGATCGCGAGGAGGTTGTCCCACCCGCCGCGCACGCCGCCCGCGTGGCGCTCGATGAGCTCTTTGAGCGGGATGCTCATCTCCTCCTCCACCGTGCACGGCTTGTTCACGTGCCCCGAGATGCAGAACAGCTTCGTGCCGCTGTTGTTCTTGCGCCCGAACGACGCGAACCACTCCGGCCCGCGTCGCAGGATCGTCGGCGACACGGCGACGGTCTCCACGTTCGTCACCGTCGTCGGGCATCCGTACAGCCCCGCGTTCGCCGGAAACGGCGGCTTCAGACGCGGCTTGCCCTGCTTGCCTTCGAGCGACTCCAGCAGCGCGGTTTCCTCTCCGCAGATGTACGCGCCCGCGCCGTGGTGCACGTACAGGTCGAAATCGTACCCGCTTCCGCACGCGTTGCGGCCCAGGAATCCCTTCGCGTACGCCTCCGCGACGGCGCGCTCGACGGCCTTGCGCTCGTTGACGTACTCTCCGCGGATGTAAATGTACCCGTAGCGCGCGCGCATGCCCACCCCCGCGATGAGGCACCCCTCGATGAGCTTGTGCGGGTCGTGGCGCATGATCTCGCGATCCTTGCACGTGCCCGGCTCGCTCTCGTCTGCGTTAACCACGAGGTACGACGGGCGGCCGTCGGGATTCACCTTGGGCATGAAGGACCACTTAAGGCCCGACGGGAACCCCGCGCCGCCGCGCCCGCGCAGCCCGGATTTCTTCATCTCGTTGATGATCCAGTCGGTGCCTTTGACGACGAGGTCTTTCGTGCGGTGCCAGTCGCCGCGCTGCATCGCGCCCTTAATAAACGGATCGTGCAGCCCGTACAGATTCGTGAAGATCCGATCCGCATCCGATAGTCCGCCGAAAACGGTTTTCTCTGGCGGGGGAGGGGGGGGAGGCGGGGCGGAAGTGGGTGGCGCGGGGCCGGATGCGGCGGGAGCGGCGGGAGCGGCGGTGGAGAGGAGGCGGGAGGTGGTCGCGGCGGCAGCGGCGGAAAGGCGGGAGGGACCTCGGGACGAGGAGGACGCGAGGCCCCTAAGCGCCGCGCGCGTGACGTTATGCATGACGGCAGGCGACGCGGCGGATGTGCGAATGAAGGTGGCGACGGGGCGGAGCGGAAAATGGAGGACCGTTTTAGGGAACTAGCGGCGAGGCGAGATCATCAGCAGAGCCTAGCTAGGGAGAAAATGGGCTGACGAAAAAACTAAAACACAACAAGGGACTAGGTTTTGGTGTGGCGAGATGAGGTGGGGTGTGGTTTGGATAGGTTCCCTCGTGGTTGGGATCATGAACTGAGGGTTTCGAGCTTGGAGGTAGAGTGAAGCGGCGACAGACGTGAGCGGCAGGGGTATCAGTGGATGTGGAGGAAGCGAGTATTGAGGGAAGAGATCAATGCCTCATAATGTAAATGTACAGTTTAACATACGGTAGGTAAAAATGAAACTTCAAGTTTTACATTGCACTTGGACATTCCAAACCGCACATCATTAGCATGCTACCAATATGATTCGCCCTTCGGGAAAAAACTGGCACTTGAAAAGCCTTAACACAAGCATATCACAATGCCATCCATAAGGGAATCACCCTTGTCCAACCAGAATATTTTTAAGGACTAACAAGTCCTTCCCTTTCCCTTCTGATGGTGAGTATTCCTGTTGAGTCAGGCGTTTCTCCCTTGCTGCTTCGCAGCAAAAGAGCATGTGTTAATCGGGCCTAGTCCCTGGGTGTCAGCGGAGTTGTGTCAATCGTCATTTGTTAATAGAAGCGCCGAGCCGATGCACTGTTGACGAGCCGTGGTAGTTGGCATGTGTGGGATGCAGCAGATGCGCGAGCAGCTCTAGTCCATCCACTAGAGAGGCTCCAGGGCATGTAAAGAGGGCGTGGTGGCATGCAAACAGCATGCCTCTTCTGGCGGCTGGTAGTGTGTCCAAGCCAGGTAGACTGGCATTCAGACTTGCCTGTGTGTGTTAGGAGGCGCAAAGGGGGAAGCATGCACAGGAGAATGGGGGTTAGAGTTGTTAGTCAAGCACGCTCCTGTCGGAGGGACAATGTATGGAAACAAACAAACACCTACTGAAGAACATGCATCAACCCGCAACCCGCCAGCCACTCAACCACACACAAATACATGCACAGTCCCAGTCCCAGGCACAATCACGCAGACCTTCATCACACACTATCACATACACACACGCACCCACCTCGCTGATGGAAGGGCCGTGGTGGGGCGGCAGCAGCAGCAGCAGAGCGTCAGGAGCGCTGTCCAACACATGCTGCCACTGCACTGCCCGCGCGCTCCCCCCTGCCTCCTGTGCCACCACACCGCTGCCGCCTGCCAGTGCCACCATGTCCCCCACCCACAGCCCTGGCACCACCACTGCCTGCTGCTGCTGCTGGTCCACAGGCTCTGCAGCATGCTTTGGACCCGCCTCAGTGGACTCTGGGCACAACGAGGTGGGGTGGGATGAGGGCAGCAGCACCACTGCTACCCGCACAGTAGGCTGCCCCGCCACTGCTGCTACCACCGCTCGAATGCGTGCTCTTAGCACAGACACCGAGACGCTTGGCGCATGTGCAGCGGCAGCAGAAGCAGCAGAAGCGGGGCAAGTGATGGCGGGATGAGCGTCCAGCATATCAAGAACGTCTGCAAGCTGGGAGGAGGGCACAGGGCGAAACGGAGCAGGCAAAGGGGTGGAAACAAGGGAGGACCGATGTGAGATAAATGAACGGGGCCTCGGGAGAAAGAACAGGAGAACACAGCACCAAATGTGGAGGACACGGGGGACAGTTGAACAGTTGTTTGGGGAGGGGAAGGGGGGAAGGGGGGGGGGGAAGGGGTGCCAGTGCTTGCTTACCGATCGCGGCTGAAGTAGAGCCACTTTTGAAGAAAGGGAGGCTGCAGAGGCTTCCACTGCAGGCGCAGCAACAACCTTTCTCCCGTCCCGTGCGCCACCACCCTTTGATACCGCTGTACCCAGTTCAACTGACACCCCCTCCGCATCCTGCCTGCACACGAGTGCCCCACGCTTCCACGCAGCATTCTCCTGCGCTGCCAGGCATGCTGTTGCAATGCGGCTGTGCTGCTGCGGGCGATGGTCGTGTAACGAGGCAGCATTGGGGGCGGATGACGTGGCGGGGAGAGGCAGAGGCAGAGGCAGAGGCAGAGGTAGTGAGTGCGGGTGGTAGAGGAGGGTGGCGAGAGGGGACGTGGGGAGGAGTGTGGAGAGCAAGGAGGGGTGTGCCAGGTTGAGCACCTGCAATTGCACCACAGGAGCAGTGGGTGGGAACGAGGGACGGGGGGGGGGGGGGGGGGGGGGGGGGGGGGGGGGGGGGGGGGGGGGGGGGGGGGGGGGGGGGGGGGGGGGG